ATTAAATAAGACTGCGTAAAAATTATGAATAATTGATAATTAATTAATGAACAAATTGTGTATTTCTGTCATAAATATGATTGTTATTACAGTACTGGCATTGTATTGTTTGTTTTATTTCACTCTATCGCTTCATTAATCAGGTCGTAAGCGACTATTTTAGAAGTCGTCGTGGCCTAAGGGATAAGACGTCCGGTGCATTCGTGTTGAGCGATGCACCGGTGTTCGAATCTCAGGCGGGTACCAAATTTTGTAATGAAATACGTACTCAACAAATGTTCACGATTGACTTCCACGGTGAAGGAATAACATCGTGTAATACAAAATAAAACCCGCAAAATTATAATTTGGTAATTACTGATTGGTGGTTGGAACTGTTGTGAGTCCGCGCGGGTAGGTACCACCTCCCTGCCTATTTCTGCCGTGAAACAGTAATGCGTTTCGGTTTGAAGGGTGGGACAGCCGTTGTTACTATACTTGAGACCTTAAAACTTATATCTCAAGGTGGGTGGCGTATTTACGTCGTAGATGTCTATTGGCTCTAGTAACCACTTAACACCAGGTGGGCTGTGAGCTCGTCCACCTATATCTAGCAATAAAAAAAAATCCTGATCATCGCTGACATGCATTGAAAGATAACTCCATAGTGAGGTTATAAGTCACGTTGAGTCTATATTGAAGCCCTGAATCAATGGTTCTGAATAATTAATTGACCTGGAACAATTGACCCATGGCCATCTGGCTCCAAATTGCGAATACCACTGTATGAATCAGATACACACTTAAATCATCTATACATATAAATAAAATTGGAGTGTCTGTTTTTAATATTGAAATAACCCCTTTTTACTACATGCATATGAATATGTATACGGTACACCAAAATATTTTTTTTTACAATTTTTGTCTGCCTGTTTGTTCCGGGTAATCTCTGGAACGGCTGGACCGATTTTGACGAGACTTTCACTGATAGGTAGCTAATGATATAAGAAGTAACTTAGGCTACTTTTTTTTGACTAGCTTCGCCCCGCGGCTTCACCCGCGATACGACAATAACCGCGGGTAACATCACGGGACTCAGCTATCAATAATAAAATTTAATGTTTCCGAAGCGAAGCGAGGGCGGGTCGCTAGTTTTAAATAAATAATCAGTCAGGACACTGTGACGGAAATACATTACATTAATTTTAGAAACGTGTTTTTTTTATTATTTCTTCCTAATCTGTATATTAAATAAACAATTAGGAATGTTTGGAAGAAGGAACTTCTTCCAAAAGAGTTGAACTTGTCATACAAGTTGTTTTTATTGTCCTTATAAGCAGACGAACATACGGCCGGTCTGATGGTGAGTGGTTACCGTCGCCCATTGACCACAGCAGTGCTAAGGGCAGAGCCAAGCCGCTGCATACCAAAACTGTTGAACCGTTTGTAAGTTTTCAACGTCTATTTTACCCTAAAATTTCCGATAAACGGGCACATTTATTTCTTACCACTTTGAAAACGACGGTCTTCCATACAACCGTTCATCTATTATGCGACCTTCTTAGGGGAAAAAAACCTTAAATGCTGACACAATATAAAATACATTAACTGCCAAAGTTTCAAGGTTGTTAGTCCCAGCGACGGCGAATCAATCAGTCAGCAAAATTATTATACTTAGATGTATAGATATCAGGTCCAATGAGGCGAACCGTTGGGCTGGTGGAAAAAGGCGGTAAGAACGAAAGGCAAGAGACCAAACAGAATGGAGTGCATATGAAGGCACCTACACTCAAAATTGGGTGGACACGAGTTGTAGAAGAAGAAGAAGCATAGATTAAGCCTCCTTACAAGGAGAATACAAACCTGCTGAATGTTTGGCCACAACGGAAATTTAAAACTGGTCTGGTTGCTAAGTACAATAGTAATTAAAATGAATTCTGCTTCTTTGTAGTGGAGAAACACCTAAGTCTTTAGGTCTTTTGATATCAGCGTTAAGAATCTGACTGCCGAGCACCCCACATATAACTGGTAGGTATTAAAATTGGTTATGGTATTTAGTATGGAGTCTGTGTGTAATGTTATCTTTGAGCTCAGTGCTAGTTTTTTAACGTTCTCGATAGCGTTAAAGTTAACTAAATTTTGTATGGAGTTTGCCTGCGTTTGCCGCTAGGGGCGCTGTTTCAATCCCATACAAATTCGAGTTAACTTTTACGCTATCGAGAACGTTAATAAACTCGCACTAAGCACACTGGTCTCGAATGTGAGTTTCTGTAAAGCAGAATAAAACAGGACGTTTGTTTAATTTGCATTTGCCCCGCTGTATCTATTATAGGTGAGGCAGGAACTAGCAGCGGAACGTAATATGAGGGTGCATTTTGGTTTGTCGAGGTAAAAATCAAACTTTGATCTCATGGTTCAAGACAGGACTCTAAATGTCACAATCCGTGTCGTGTATAAATTTAATACGCATATTGTAATTTGTTTACTATAAATATAAAAACAAATAAAAAAGAAAATCAACAAAATAAAATAATCATTAATGTTGTCAAAGGTAATTAAATATGCATTAGTAAGGATAAATCACTGGTCAGATCTTGATAAAATTTTAATGGCACCACATGAGCAGTCGCTTTGAAATAAAGAGAGAATTATCCAAATCCGTTCTCCTAGAAAAAAGTTCAGATGATACTTAAAAACATATAATACACAAGCGATCCGCCCTCGCTTCGCTTCGGAAACATTAAATTTTATTATTTGAGCCCCGCGGTGTTACCCGCGGTTATTGTCGTACAGCGAGTGACGCCGCGGGGCGAAGCTAGTCTAAAAAAAGTAACCTAAGTTACTCCTTATATTATCAGCTACCTATCAGTGAGCGTCTCGTCAAAATCGGTCCAGCCGTTCCAGAGATTAGCCGGAACAAACAGACAGACAAAAATAGTAAAAAATGTTATTTTGGTGTATGTACCGTATATATATTCATATGCATGTAGTACAAAGCGGTTATTTCAATATTACAAACAGACACTCCAATTTTATCTATATGTATAGATAAAAAAATAAACGAATTGCAAAACTCTTCCTTTTTTGATATTAGGTTAGAAACTATGTTACGTGAAATAAAACATTAAAACAAATTGAATAAATCGATTTAATATCTTGTAATTCTTCATTAAACCGTTCACATAACCGTTACATATACACTCTATGATCTATACAACAATATATTAAACTTTAATAAGCCAGAATTCAAAACAACTTTGGTCATTAGCTTATCGTTTACAATAATCATTAAAATTGGTGTTCTTTCTTTCTTGAGTATTTTAATGTAAATAAGCATTTATCTATATATGTACATCAGAGCTAAAAGGTCGCATATTTACGTGGTGTTATCAAATCACTTGGTTGCCATTTGTATCAAACAATTATCAGATGTATTTTATTGCTTAGATGGGTGGACGAGCTCACAGCCCACCTGATGTTAAGTGGTTACTGGAGCCCATAGACATCTACAACGTAAATGCGCCACCCACCTTGAGATATAAGTTCTAAGGTCTCAGTATAGTTACAACGGCTGCCCCACCCTTCGAACCGAAACGCATTACTGCTTCACGGCAGAAATAGGCAGGGCGGTGGTACCTACCCGCGCGGTCTCACAAGAGGTCCTACCACCAGTAATATTCCTAAAGTTAAATAATACATTAATGGCGGCTTGAAATGTTTTTTTTTTAAGTTGGTAACATACAACCTTTTGCCTCTAATGTCGAGATTATAACAAGGACATCTTTTGACAATAGTAATGTCATTGTCTATATAGCATTACTTATTTGTATACTAGCGTAATCATTACGCAGATTTCTATGTGTACTTTTTAGGTTAGACAATAACTTCTTTGTCTTATTAAGCGATTTCAAAGCTCAGTTCCATTTTGGATTTGATTACATTGGATTTAATTACTAATAATTATTTTATTACATTGTATTTTTCAAGTCCGTTTATTATTTAGGACTAGAGGCGTCGACATACAAGCATCGCATTTAATAGTTCAAATATATATTTATTTATACTTACAAACATTTATAAGAAATAATAGTATAAAATGTTACAACAACGCTGTTTGTTTATCACATAAAAATAAGTATTTTGGTCATCTAAGATGAATGAATATTTACAAAAGAGGAGAGAGATGAGATCGATTTTTATAATAATTCCATTAGTTGATGTAGACGTTTGCATCGAAGTGAGCAAGATACGTGTGATGCCCATTGGCTCACGTCACCACTTATCACTAGATTGGCTGTGAACTCGTCTGCCCGGCAACGGAAACACAATACATTTCTTTGGCTTCACTGTGATAAAGACAATAATAGACGCTAAAACAATAAAAGATATCTAATTATTTTTGAGAGTCCATTCAACAACAAGTCTAACAAGTCATAGAGCTTTTATTGGACATCAAGATAATCTATACCAAAAATTATTTAAACATCATTACGGTTCTATTACAGACATTTCTTTTTATTGCCACAAAACTCGAAATATCCAACTACATATGAGGCCGTCAGCGCAAAAGTGGCCTAACCCATAATTTTTCATAATCATGCTTATAATATCGACGCTTGAAAGGCAAACGTGACTAAGCGACAATAACTGCTTTGTACATAAATGATAGGCAATAACCATATTCGATGCGCAAAATATATATATATTTCTAGGTCTATTAAAATCATTTCAATCCTACAGCTACTAGCTAGATTCTACTACAGCTAGATTCGTTAAAATAGATTTTTTTTTCAGGTATTTCAACTTTAAATTAGTCTACTGTAAACTTCACGTATTGTCGCTTAGTCACGTTTGCCTTTCAAGCGTCGATATGTATATTGCAGTTTATTTTAAATATAATAAATTTTGATGCAAAACCGGCCTATCCATAGTTTCACTCATAGATAACAGATGGCTTTGTAAGCATTATTGTTTTTTGTGTACTCAAATTCAAATTCATGAAAACTTACACCTCATTGCTCCATAATAACTATGGTAAGCTTAGGCCACTTTTGCGCTGACCGCCTCATATGTCTTAGATTAAAAAAAATTAAATTTTCATTCATAAACAAATTGCTATTATCTGTGCACACTCTGGAGCACATATAGGCAGAAAATTACCAAAATTATTGGTGTGGAAGCAGCAATGTATTTACAGTACATATTTACGTGCTCCAACTCGATACGTGTAACCAAGAACTAAATAAAGCTCTTAACAATAATTTATGTATAAAAAGCGATCTCATATAAGGCACAAAGTCTAACTTGGCTTCAAGCCTATGTCTAATAAATGTAGGATCACACTAAACTCTCAAAGAAGCGGTACGAATAACGTTTAAAAAAATTTAGAGTTTTATTGAGAGTTCGAGAATTTTAAATCCATACGAATATTTTGGACCCGGAAAATAACTTTGGAAACTACGCATACATTTAAAACTAAACTAAATGGTTACGTTATTAATTTTGATGTCTGTATAATTTATCATTTATATATTATTTAATTTTTAATTTTATATTATATCTTTATAAGATAAAAACAACGGTATGTTGAAAGCTGATTAGGATGAGTACGAACTAACCGCTAAAGTTGAATTCAATCTCTCAATCTCTTTCGCTCGCCTTCAGATATGACTAGCGGAACAGAGTCAACAAATATTTGATGTTTATCATCATTCTATTTTAATTAATATTAACAATTACTTATTCGTAGTGTACTTTATTTACAAAAACCATATGTAATCAATTGTACATTGCTCGTTCTAAGGAACCAACCTTCTGTTTTGTTTTGTTTTTAATCAAGATAGTAATCTTGATTAACATTTACATTAAGAACTTCATAAAGTCTTCGAGAACATTTTCAAACATTCAAAACACGATGGACGTGATTCAAATTCGGGAAAATTTAAAATTTAAACCACTTTGAATCCAATTTTAATGTTCAGTAACGAACCGTTGCTTAGTAACAATTAGTAAGATTTTTGCAACTATATCTTTAAACTAAGGCAAACCAAACGCAGTAAGTTGTGAAAAAACAAGAACGTCATCCAGGTATAGTACGAGAATATATTTTATAAAATATATTTATCTATTCAATTAAATTACATATAAAAAACACAACTTCTAACGTGTTTCACTGTTTATTATCCTTCTTTAAATATTTATTTTTAATAATTCCGCTAGTATTATTCGCCTAAATTTAGATATCTAAATACGTCAGTTCTCTCTTTATTTGATGAAAACCACTGATCATATTCACGAGTACCAAACTTAAATTTAAATGATTTTAAACTTACTTATACCATGAAACCATGTATCTGATTGGCACTACTTTATCGTTTAACTTTTACTTACAAATCAATTTTAGACTAAACCTGTTTTAGTTGAAATTAAAATCACGCTTTTTTCTTTGTTTTGTTTTCTTCACTGAATATCTCATTGAATTCGTTCAGGAGGATGTCGACGACGTTGTTCTGTTGGATGCAGTCGACGGCTATGTTACGTGCCTTCGCCGTAACCGGGGCCCATAGTATCGTCGGCCCGAATACTATGGCTAGATTGGCTATGTGCATCCTATTTTTTTCACTGTACTGCTGTACCCTGTAAAATAAAGGAGTTCGTTATAACCCATCAAGTTAAGGTGAGGAATTAACGTGATTGGAAGGTAGTCCACGTTTTGTTCGAGTTGTCATAGCATATCAAGTTAAGGTGAAGAATCAACGTGATTTGCAAAAAAGTCCACGTTTTGTTGGAGTTTTCCTGAGAGTAACTCGTCGAGTTTAGTTTGCAGAAAAAATGTGAAGATAAAACATCAGTAGGCAGTTAGAGTTGTCGATGACAATTAGCAACGCAAGTGACCAGTAAGATAATTGAGTCAATTCAATATCATGTGCAACAGTTATATTTGATTAAGAAATCAATTATATCAGCCAAATGACTTAGTTCGCAGAGCACTAACCCGCGAACTTCCGAACTCTAAGTGTATTTCTTCTTTACAAGCCATAAACTACGAAATCTTTCTTCAGACGAGACTTCGGAAATTCACTGAACTATAATTGAGCTTTCTACATCAATAAACATATTCAGTTACCTTAATAAATGTTCTAATAAGAATTTTAGCGTGTCCCTGTTGCATTGCGGCAGCGCTTGTATTATTTCCCTGAACTCTTTGATCTTCGCTTCCCTTGGCTTTATAGCTGCAAACGAATTGTTTAAGATTAAACATTGCTTTCGATGTACACCCAAGCTTTCGGTTCATACGGTTTTAACAGGTTAAGGACCGAGATCTTTTTGCGATTTTTGCCAAAAGTAATTAAATACATATGGATAAATAATTACTCAAATAAGCTGTACCTACTTTTAGTTTTTTGATTATACAATTATATTTTCGAATAGTTAATTCCCCTTCAATTTGTTATAGCTACTAGCCTAAATGAGGCATCGGGGTCCGCGTTTCTTACATATTCAATAGAAAACTTGCGGTCTGGGGTATTCTAGGCAGGTGAGTTGCGGAGATCACAAGGGATCGCTAATGTTGTTTTGCCAAAGTAATAGTATCCACCCACAGGGACCGCTCCGGTCCTTAATCTGTTAAGCTTGAGGTGGAAGCTTCTATTGTTTTGTAATGATAAAATATAAGGTGTGAAACTCCATGAACCACCAGCTATGTATTGATAATCGAGGAAGTCTGGAATGACTATATTTAAGGAGAAGTAGGCGTATACGTTGGGACGACGAGAGGAGAAGTCTTAAGCAATTTTGTGGCGACATCAACGCCGTAGCAATGATCTTCTCTAACTATAATACTTTAACAATTGGGCCGNATTGTTTTGTAATGATAAAATATAAGGTGTGAAACTCCATGAACCACCAGCTATGTATTGATAATCGAGGAAGTCTGGAATGACTATATTTAAGGAGAAGTAGGCGTATACGTTGGGACGACGAGAGGAGAAGTCTTAAGCAATTTTGTGGCGACATCAACGCCGTAGCAATGATCTTCTCTAACTATAATACTTTAACAATTGGGCCGGCTATTAGAAAAACATTAAGCCACTTCTGCTTAATAGATTTTTGTCATATTTTCCAACTAACTCCTCAAATTCAAATCCCGAGTGCATATCTTAATTCAAGGGACGAGGCATGATTACGTTAGAATCCATCGCAGTTTTGAAAGTTGACAAAACTGATTACGCTCGAGTGTTTAACGGAAATTCATACGCAAATATTCATCATCATCATCATCATCATCATCAGCCTTTATCTGCCCACTGCTGGACATAGGCCTTCCCTAATACCTTCCACAGAATGCGGTCCTCCGCCTACCGCATCCAACGACTTCCCGCCGTGCGCACTAAATCGTCGGTCCACCTGGTCGGAGGACGCCCCACGCTGTAAGCGAATAAGCTATAGTCTTGCTAAACTCACAGCAAGCGGCGAGAACTCTATGGAACAACGAGTACGGTATCAGCGGCTCCTTCAGCTCCCTGAAGAACAGTTTCAAGGAGCCCGTCAGCACGTGGATGTCGCTGTTCTTGCTTATCACTGAGGTGTTGTTCTGATCGATCTGAAAACGATTTATCAATAGGTGGTAGGACCTCTTGTGAGTCCGCGCGGGTAGGCACCGCCACCCTGCCTATTTCTGCCGTGAAACAGTAATGCGTTTCGGTTTGAAGGGTGGGGTAGCCGCTGTAACTATACTTGAGACCTTAGAGATTATATCTCAAGGAGGGTGGCGCAAAAAAAAAAAAAAAAAGGTGTGTTACGCGAAATGCTTGTTTCAAACTGTACAGTTTGTCCGAGCAACCTTCTGATGTAATAGTCATAATAATTCTTTTTTTTATTGCTTATATGGATGGACGAGCTCACAGCCCACCTGGTGTTAAGTGGTTACTGGAGTCCATAGACATCTACAACGTAAATGCGCCACCCGCCTTGAGATATAAGTTCTAAGGTCTCAGTATGGTTACAACGGTTGCCCCACCCTTCAAACCGAAACGCATTACTGCTTCACGGCAGAAACAGGCGGGGTGGTGGTACTCTATTGAGTAATTGTTTATTGATAAGCTTATAGTAACTGACCGATATGTATATGATACAAATTGCGACGCCTTACTAATGGCGATACACGAAATGACTGGAAAATGAGTGACTTCGATGTAAAATGAATCCGCATGCAATAAAATGTGCGCGCTTGCTCGTACTCAAACACTGTAAATTCTTAATCATGAGGTTTTTAGAGAACTTACACTGAAGCTGGGAAGGGTGCCTTCATAAGGCGCTATGTCAGTGTTACCTAACTATTCTTTTATATATTTGGAAATACACAAAGCAACGGTTTAGTCTAGCGTCGATGAAAGATCGGTAGGAACGTTTTGGCCATAACGACAGGAACGAAGTGGCGTCAATTGTTTTCATTTTATTAATTTAGTATCTTTTTCAGGTTTAACCGTGTAATAATGGCGGTTTGTGAATCGTTTAGCATCTGTAAAAATGCACCGTAAAAGGGAAAACGAAACCGAGTCGCTGGACGTGGCTTCACGGGTTCTTGCATCAGTCATCATAGTCCTTAGAAGCACTGCTTCTGTTTACTTCGTTTCTCTCAGTACCGCTAAAAAGTTCCTACCGATCTTTCATTGACGCTAGACGAAACCGTTGCTTTGTGCACTTCCACAGTAGATACAGCTTCTAATGACTGTGAAGACTTCTAATGATGTGATGCAAGAACCTTTCAGCGACTCGGTTTCATTTTCCCTTATACGGTGCATTTTTACAAATGCAAATGCATTTTTACAGCTTCATTTTTCACATAGCATAATAATTAAAAATTTGACGCTGACAATAAAAAATTCAAAAAATCGATTGCCGTACTGAAAAAATGAAGAAGGAGAAAAGACCTACCATTAAAAAAGACATTAGTCTACAATTAAAAGTAATCCCATAAAAACAACAATTTTGGATTCTAATTCTACGCATTCTACTCTGATTTCTATCTCCACTCGTTACGTTTTAGAATCGCAGAAAACCATCGCTAATGCTATACTCATGGGTGATATTACCTGATGCTGATTTCCTGAGGATTTAAAAAAAATTGTTTTAAATGAACATGTACGTATGTGCTCACCTCTAACCGGATCTTCTGGACTTGGCTGAGGTTTCCGGAGGCTCTGTACAGGCCGTCAGTGCAGAGATTCTCATCGCTACTTTCGATTTCATTGACGCAGGCCACCACGAATTCCGGGACCTGGGGGCTGGTCTGCGGACAAACCTCCGCAAGGTTCCTCCCGAAGACCGGTTCATCTGTTAAATTATAAGATCTACCTCAAGTATTCACATTAACAATTACATCACGAAAAACAATTTAGATACTATTTATGTACATTAATAATTATATTACTAGAGGTCCCGCAGTAATCGAAATTCGACTATAATTAATTGGAATTGTAAGTTTGTACACTATTATGATTTGTATTTTATACTTCTATAATCACAAATTTCGCCAAGACTACACTATAAAAAATATTAACAAAGCCAAACAATATTTAATCTATTCTCAATTTGACAACAAAAAGAACAAAAGTTTGACAATAAATAGTATGCATGCGTGTGTGCGTCAAATACATGGTATGTAGTGTGTGTAATGTTTTCTTTATTGATTTAATGTATCTTTTATGCATTATTTCAAAAAAATATTAGCATTGTACACTTCTTCTCTATATTCTCTATAAGTGTGGAAAATTGCATAATCCTCCGTCCGCGCAATTTTCGTAAAAAGGGATACAAAGTTTTTGCTTCACGTATTAATATATAGATTCTTAGTACGTATATGTTTTTTTCTCATAACTCACTTTAATTAGATTTTTATTAAGGAAAAAATAATGTATGTTCATGTTCTATACATGTTCTTTTCTCATTAGTATTAACCAAAAAATTGCTGTACTTCGTACATCAAAGGACCACATCAATTTTATTCTTTAACAAGCTTCGCCAAAAAGTCCACAGATTACCTAGTTTTTTTCCCCTACCTATTCTCTAATAGCTTAAGGGGTTATTCCAACTACGTACTGGCTAGTGTTTAGTAATAATCGGAGACCATAGAAATAACCTTGAACTATTTCGAGCAATTTCAAATTCTTAAATGTTGTCAGTCCAAAAATATATTTACTATATTTATATATTTCACTGGTGGTAGGACCTCTTGTCAATCCGCACGGGTAGGTACCACCACCCTGCCTATTTCTGCCGTGAAGCAATAATGCGTTTCGGTTTGAAGGGTGGGGTAGCCGTTGTAACTATACTGAGACCTTAGAACTTATATCTCCAGGTGGGTGGCGCATTTATGTTGTAGATGTCTACGGGCTCCAGTAACCATTTAACATCAAGTGGGCTGTGAGCTCGTCCACCCACCTAAGAAATAAGAAAAAAAACATATCGAACACCCAGAAAGAAGTAAACGCCCGACGTGGGAACCGAACCTACGACCCTTGGCGCAACAGTTAGGCCCGCTAACGGCTGTGTCAGTCAAATATGTCTATAAAAAGTGAATAACAATTTATTAAAATTTATTTAAATGACTAAAATATCGCTAAATAAATTCGAATAAATATTAAAGAGCGCCTGTTGTCATAAATGACTAATTGACGTGTTTTAGTGAAGTGTGGTATGGTCCTATGGTCGATTAGTCTAAATTTGTTTTCAGTTTCCCAATTCCATCCATTAACTAACAAAATACGCTTTTATAGAAAATCCAACTAAAAAATAGATTATTTTTTTTAATAAATTTGAATTAAAAATAAAGTATGAAATAAATATTTTATTGTAAAAAAATCGTGGAGTGCATGGTAATGCATAAGTAGTTATAAATATTTTATGAACAGATATGAGTAGAAGGGTTATTTTGAAATATCCTGAAAAGCACCCCACGCTTTTTTTACAATAAAATCCTTTTTTCTTACACTATTTTTAATTCAAATTTATTAAAATTTATTTGCTATTTTTTACTTGGATTTTCTATAAAGCATTTTCTTAGTTTTTTTAATATTGAATTGTCATCGGTCCTTAATAAGTATACCAAATTATGAGTTAATCCGATATTTTGAAGGGGGTCAAAATTATGTTCAAAGATCCCGTTACAAACATACATGCGTCTGAAGCTAATAAAAGCAAATTAAAAATAAAATTTAATTATTAATTTTGTACTAAAAATATTGACATTGCATCCGTGCTTTGAATGATTAGCCATTAGGATTTTTGGGCTTTTTTCCATGTGAATTATGAATTATTTGGATACGAAAAATCGATGGTGAGATGCGTTTGTCATTAATGTTTTGACATCAACAACTTGGAGCAGGTATGCTGTGATGACGAATCAGTGATAGTGGAGTGCAAGCGGCTTGACTTATTTCGTTATATCGATTTAAAAATCGATATTATTTATTTCATTAAATACAATTTAATATAAATTTCGATTTAAAAAAATCGATATCAATCATTCGATAAGTCCAAGACTTGTATTATTCTTACACTTTGCAGTTTTGTTATTTGTTTTCCAACAAAAACACACACCGAAATGAACACACAGTTTTAACCTAGATTCGCGTACTTAAAAACATAAAAATATACACATGTCTTAATTATATCGTACAACCATCCACCGCAAACTTAAATATAAAATGGAAAGCACTAAATTAGTAGTAATAAAGGGTTTGGGGTTTTGATAAAAACAAAAACAAAATAAAACAATAAAATAAAACAGCAAAACAATTTTTTTATATATTAAATCGTACAATCGTAAAACAAAAGCGTTAAGGATCTTTGAGTCGATTACTTTCAGCAATTGTTATAAAAAAAAAAACGAATTTGGATAAGGAACGACCTATGTACATGTCTTCTCGCATTAAAACTGTATAATCCCAAAACTTACTAATTTTACAGGAGAGTGTTTTAAAGATTTATAAGAAGACATGGATGGAGTGTGTGAATGACGATATGAGAGAGAGAGAGGAGTGAGTGTTGAGATGACGACTGATAGAAGAAAATGGAAGAGAAAAATTAGCTGTGCCGACCCCACCTAGTGGGATAAGGTGGAGAAAAAGAAGAAGTGTTTTAAAGATTTAACTTCTGATATTTTTTATTATATATTAATCATCTTTGCAACATTAATTTTTTATTTTTTACCAGTTACATTATCTGTCTTTTTAAGGAAGAAAAAAATTAGGTATTACATAGGTAAAGTAAAAAAAAAACTAGACTACGCTCTTTTGACAGTATTTATGAGAAAAATACTGGTGATACCAAATTTTTATGCATATTAACTCAATTTCGAATATTTTTGGAAATCGTACACTTTTAATGCGAATATGTTCATATGGGGTTTTGTATTCTGACATAGTAGCAACCGCCAGTCGCGCTATACATCTGAACATTCAGCGGAGGGTAAAATACCTTTTGCCATTTACCTGGCTTTTACCAATCTAATAGGACTATGCGTTTTCATTCGAAGAGCCAAATAACCATATTATCTAAGTTTCAGAAGGACAAAACAATTAGAAGTAATCGAAAATTAAATCGGAAATATTTTTTATTACTTCACATGAAATAAGCCCACGGACCGCTGGTGAGTTTTTACCGGAATCCACAGAAATCAAAAGGTCGTCACCTGGAAGAGATCGCTCTTAGCGATAAGACCGCCAATGGTACTTTTCTTTTTGGTATTAAATGTTTCGCATTGTTTATTTTTTTGGTGTACAATAAAGAATACTTTCTCTCTCTCTTTATCTCTCTCTCTCTTTCTTTCTCTCTCTCTCTCTTTCTCTCACTATCCATCTCAGGTCGTGTTGAAATATCGAATGTAACAACTTCGCGCTACCATCAACTCAACCTCAAATCTGGTAAAATGGCTTTACTATTACTGTCCTGGAGAAACACAAGACCAACCAATTTTTAATAGTGATAGTCTTGAAAATAGTTTTTTTTATCTTAGATAAATGGACGAACTCACGACCCAGCTGGTGTTAAGTGGTTGCCGGGGCTCACGGAAATCAACAGCGTAAATGTCGCCACCCGCGTTGAGACAGATCTAAGTCTCCGTTCTACAGTACAACGGCTGCCCCGGGCTTCAAACCCCGGATCAAGACACCCCACCATTACACTAATAACGCAAATTCATTTACGTCTGAAACTAATCGACTCATTTACAACTGGCTTTATAAAACTTACCTTATTAATATTTCTAAAGCAGATACAATAGCACCACCGAATAACAATTAACTATTGCATATTAGTATTTGTTTGATCTAATTTCAGAACCGCACACATCAATTATATGCCTATGGCATTAAGTCCGCCTTTATACTTTCTAGTATAAGAAGTTATAAATAAATAAATAAATAAAAATTATAATAATATAATATATTTTATTTTATAATTATAAAAATTATAATTATAAAATAAAAATTATAATAATAATTATAATTTTTATATTACCTCTTTTAAAAGTACATACTCGTACAATAAAAATACAATTCAAAGTAAAAAAATATTTTGTTAACCTTTCTCTGTACAAGGTTCAAAGACTTGCATTACTGATCTCAAAGCTCTCTTTTCCCCCCTACCTATTCGCTGATAGCACAGGGGGCCATTCCAACTACGCTCGGGAAGGTAAAGTCACGGGCTCAAGCTGAATTTGCTAACACTAGCCCTAGCAAGAGCAGTGTTTCGCAGAATCTACTACCGGATCGGTATCGCGACCCACTGAGAAGATCCGGCGAGAAACCCATTAGGCTCGCCAAGTTCCTCCCTTCCTAGTTTAGGTTAGGTTGTGAGCGGAACGCGCGAGTTAGCGCTGAGAGATTGAGAGAGAGAGAGCGTGTAAAATTTTTTTTTCCTACCTGTGCGTTTACCAGGGCGTTATAGAAACTTGGTTTGTTCGCAAGGACTTGATAAAAAAACTTCAAGTGTTTGTGAATAGGTGCCTGCGTCAGATTTTGAAAATCTTTTGGCCTGAGAAGATCACTAACAAAGAGCTGGGGAGGATCACTAAGCAGACACCAATGGAGAAGGAGATCCTTATGCGGAAGGTGCATTGGATTGGTCACATTTTGAGAAAGCCCGATACCAACCTATCAAAGAGAGCACTGACCTGGAAAGTGTCTGGCAAAAGGAAGAGAGGCCGCCCCAGAACAACTTGGCGTCGCTCGGTGAAGCAGGAGCTAGGGGTCTTGGGCATGACGTGGGAGGAGCTAGAACGGACTGCCTAAGACCGTTGTAAATGGAAAAATTTGATTCGAGCCCTACACCCCAGCAGAGGGTAATAGGAAATAATGATGATGATGATGATGACCTATGCTGATAGCCTTGAGAGGGTATTTCAGCTTCACCCTAACATGTAGGTGAGCTCACGGGACTCAAACCGGAGTGATGCTAACACTGGCCCTAGCAAGAGCAGTGCTTCGCAGAATCTATCACCGGAAGCGTGCTATCCAATGCAATGCCGAAATTCGATCTATATACCCCTGTTTCGTTTTATTACAAATCACCGACAACGAAGTTACCGTTGCCCGGACTACATCCATCTACTAATTACAGTTATTTTTTTTAATCAAGATGATCTCGTTCAAAAATAATTTTGAGATGAACGCATATTATATATTTAAGAATCTCACACTGAAATTACACTTAAATTACCAAAACAACTACATACGTCCATTTGAATTGTTTATTAATCCTAAAACTGCGCAAATGGCATATATATAAACACGACTTTAAACATGTTTTTTAATTCAAGTTGGTTTCAGCGACCCTTTACCCTAACATTAACAGGGCTTATAAAGGCTGACTGGTTGAACACTTTGCACACTCAAGGACATGATAATTCATGGTCACATGAAATGTTTAAAATCACTACATAGTATATAACAAAGTCGCTTTCTCTGTCCCTATGTATGCTTAAATCTTTAAAACTACGCAACGGATTTTATGCGGTTTTTTTAATAGATAGAGTGATTGAAGAGGAAGGTTTATATGTATAATAACATCCATTAAATAGTTGAGAAATCAATAATAAATTACAGTTTCCGAAGCGAAGCGAGGGCGGGTCGCTAGTATATAATAAAAAAAAATACAAATGAACTACAGAGAAAACCTTCATTAAATTAATTTGCTAAAACTCGAAATTTGTGGACACCGCAGTGTTACGGCGGTGTAAACAAATAAATTCTGTTCCGAAGNTATATGTATAATAACATCCATTAAATAGTTGAGAAATCAATAATAAATTACAGTTTCCGAAGCGAAGCGAGGGCGGGTCGCTAGTATATAATAAAAAAAAATACAAATGAACTACAGAGAAAACCTTCATTAAATTAATTTGCTAAAACTCGAAATTTGTGGACACCGCAGTGTTACGGCGGTGTAAACAAATAAATTCTGTTCCGACGTGCGCGCGACGTGAGTGACCACGCTTTATTGTTTTGAGTAGATAATTAAACATAAATTAGGCAGATATTAGGCACCTATTTTTTTTTTGCTTAATTACGAGAATCGAGTACTGAGCCCTCTATATCAATATGTGAAGTGCTCAACCCGTCAGCCTGTATTTAAAATTAGTTACATTAATGTAAACACAATTAGCTTTCGATATAAATCTACTAATACATTATTTATGTACAGTATATTAAAATGTTTAAGTATTAAATATAGCCCAAACTACTAACTACAAGAGATCTATGTACATACAAAAATATTACTAACATGGACGTGATCGGCAAGGATTCAACATGTGGCCTGGGTGGGTTTAGAAGTCTACTGGGTGCGTTCGTGGAGATAAAGTTTCTGTCCCTCTCTAACGTGGGCTTTAGAAGAGAGTGTGACCGATCCATCAGTATCCTATCAGTTGTGGGGTTCTACCGTGAGACTCTTGTATAATAAGCAAGTGGAATTGTGGCACTCTTTCTTATTCAATTTTAAATAAACGAGCTACGTCAATCAACTGGCAAGCATCTGTGAAACCAACCATTTTTAATGCCATTAACATTGTCAATTTGTTGTAGACTAATACTGATGAACCAAGAAGATTATTTTTCAACAGGCTCAAATTTCTGAAGCGATCTGTGCTTGTGTGATCCGTAGAACTTGAAACTCGAAAACAAAAACTATTTAAGTGAATCTCAAAGAAATTTAGATATTCAAACAATTTATGTGGGAATGTACTTATAGATTCTAAATATAAAGTTAATTTTCAAATTGTCGAGAAACAAAGGAAATTTGTTTGTTTGTTGAACAGATTTTATTTTCGATTTGGAAAGATTCGATTTGATTAACTATTAAAAAATTCATGATTAATTAATTGAATTTGCAATTATTTTTTATATAACAACTACACGGACTATATTGATCGATAGTAACAAGGATATTTTGAGTCCGGTAATCCAGAATCGATTAGCGGTCGGAGCCAGTAATTTTGTGAGAGACACTTTTTGCGCAGAAGAAAACAAATCTTTATTTAATCCTTAACCTCTAGAAGGAATATCATCATGATCCACGCCAAGACCACGTCCATGCTCTAAGCTAAACCAAACAACCGATAAAACCAAAGCCCGAACGCAGCCACCAATTAAACAAATACCGAACCTTTGTAGATTCCCTTTTTGACGAGTACCTCCATCGCCGGCCTCTTCGCAAAGAACTTCCTCAATCTACTTTTCACGTGGGTCTTTTGTATCGACGTTTCCGTGGAGTCGCTCAGGTCCTCGTTACTGCTCCCGCCAACTGGAAGCGAAATTTCGAAAATCGATAACAAAGATATCGATAAAATATTAACAGAAGACATTAGCAATTTTAAGGCTTCAAGAATACGATGTAGGCTGTAAATCTGATACAATTCATCTGTGAATAACAACTTTGTCAGTATATGTACATACCAGACATGACATTTCAGTAATTAATGATTGCTTTACGTTTAATTTTAAAATTATTTGACTTCGAAATTATGTTGAATAAATGAGTCGTCTATTATCAAAGCCGGCAATCTGACTTTTGAACAATATTGGTAAATCAGAAAAACGAATTATTGACTTTGTATTCCATTGGCAGTCACAAAACTCTTTGGAACGACATCTTAGATAAATAACAGGTAAACTATTAACCTTTATTTAATGCAGGTTTTGAACCGTATTCTTTGAAGGAGACGATTATATTCAAATCAATCTGTATTGACATATCAATAACATTTTTTTGTCCAAATGCACAGATTGCCACCTTTGATAATAGACGACTCAAATCTAATATAGAACATGCTATTTGTGACAACGACTAATTTAGGTTTACCACCATTTTAAAGTCGTAAAAGTGTATTAGATTTACAGCACGATGTATGTATTGAAATATAGAAGCAATTTACCACAAAACCTTTATATTATTCAGACAGGCAGGAACAGAGTAGCTTAGAAGCAAGAGACCGATTTAGTATTTATTAATCCCCACCTCCACATGTTAAACATCACAATACATTTTCGCATACAATTTGACGTACAAACGGATCAAGAAATAGAAATTGATTAGAATTATTTAGACGCATCATTAATACACAAACAGAGGGAGCAGAAGATTTATTTGAAAAGAAAACAGAATCATTTCGATTTCTATAAGACACATACGATATTGACGAAACACAGACACATCCGCGTATCAATACTGAATGTAGGTAGTTCACACTAAATATTTACCTTCATTTTCGTGTCCCTTCTGTAATGCACGACTCGATAAATTTCAAAACCGAATAAATATTATATTAAATATTTACAAACGTCACAATATCATCAATAGCTCCGCGCGAGGAGATAGATAATGATAACGTATCGTCGATACGCGATAAAAAAAAACTCCTTTGCACTTTTAGTTAAATATATTCTCGTATAATTTTACATAATTACATTCATGTTATTATTTGTCGTCTAGTTTGACGGGTGTCGCATATGCATAAGATTATTTGAACTGTCATGGTGTTTAGAGAGGTTATGAATGCGCTAATTGGTATTTTGGGTTACGAGATAACGTAGCGGTGACTGGATTAAATAAATTTAGTATTTTTTTTTTTATAAAAACCAATTCTTTCACTGTTAATTCTATAAACAGCTGGCATTCGTAGCTACCAGCCAAACTTCATAGTTTATATCTATACATATAAGTAAAATTGGTGTGTCTGTTGGTAATATTGAAATAGCTGCTTTTCACTACATGCATATATATATACGGTACATACACGAAAATAACATTTTTTACAATTTTTGTCTGTCTGTTTGTTCCGGCTAATCTCTGGAACGGCTGGACCGATTTTGACGGGACTTTCAATGATAGATAGCTGATGATATAAGGAGTAGCTTGGCTACTTTTTTAGATTAGCTTCGCCTCGCGACGTCACCCGCGGTACGACAATAACCGCGGGACTCGGCTATCAATAATAAAATTTAATGTTTCCGAAGCGAAGCGAGGGCGGGTCGCTATTATTTCTATATATCGAGAGGTGAAATGCTATTAGGTTTAAGAGACACTTTTGCAACTTCACAGGAGAGCCATTTAAAGTTTAAAATTTGGAAAATAAATATCATAAACAAATAAACTTCTTCTGCTATTAGAATGTTATAAACTTAATTGAAGTTCAATTAAAAAGCATCGAACTGTTGATGCTAATACCAAATAAAACGGACTTTAATTTACAAAGATGAGCGTCGCGTATTTAGCGAAATGTCGCTTAAACCAAAACGCCTTTCACCTCTCGATATATAAAAATAAATATGCACAGACACAACCGTAACAATTTGTCTCCTCTGTTTAACAAAGAATCCTGTCTTTTTTTTATTGTTTCGCCGCTATTACTATATCTATGAGCGTGTTTCATTAAAAGTATTAAAACTATGGATATAAAACGATGGATAGTTGTACAGACACTGGTGGTAGGACCTCTTGTGAGTCCGCACGGGTAGGTACCACCACCCCGCCTGTTTCCGCCGTGAAGCAGTAATGCGTTTCGGTTCGAGGGGTGCGGTAGCCGTTGTAACGATACCTGAGATCTTAGAACTTATATCTCGAGGTGGGTGGCACATTTACGTTGTAGATGTCTATGGGCTCCAGTAACCACTTAACACCAGGTGGGCTGTGAGCTCGTCCATCCATCTAAGCAATAAAAAAAAAAATAAAAAAAAGTCACATGTAAATAATTGAGGCCGTCAGCGCAAAAGTGGCCTAAGCTTTCCAGTTATTATGGAGCAATGAGGTTTAAGTTTTCATGAATCTGAATTTGAAAGTAAACAAAAAAAACAATACGTGCAAAAATAATGTTTACAAAGCCATCTGTTATCTATGGGTGAAACTATGGACGGGCCGGTTTTGTATTAAAATTTATTATTTTTAAAATAAATTGCAATATACATAATTCTTCTTCTTCTTTTTCTCCACCTTATCCCACTAGGTGGGGTCGGCACAGCTAATTTTTCTCTTCCATTCTCTTCTATCAGCCGTCATCTCAACACTCACTCCTCTCTCTCTCATATCGTCATTCACACACTCCATCCATGTCTTCTTCGGGCGACCTCTTCCCCCTCTACCTTGCACTACCATTTCCATACATCTCCTAGTCACATGCATCTTCTCTAATATAATATATAATATATACATTCTCTAATATACATAATTATAAGCATGATTATGAGAAACTGTGGGTTAGGCCACTTTTGCGCTGACAGCCTCAATTACGCGAATTAATATGACTTTCCGAAAATCAAAGATTTACATACGTTTTCTTTGATTAACTTGAGAGAGACAAGCGACTTAAATGCAATTTGTTGTCTATGTAATGTAATTTGACAATGTTCGATTGCCAGCCCGCAGAACGTGAGCACTTATGAACACACACCTCCATATAGCATAATTATGTATATAGCTGAATCTATCAGCGAACGAAAGGTGTTGAGAACAAAAGGACTTGAAGTCGTCGTGGCCTAGAGGATAAGACGTCCGGTGCATTCGTGTGTAGCGATGCACCGGTGTTCGAATCCTGCAGGCGGGTAACAATTTTTCTAATAAAATACGAACTTAACAAATATTCACGATTAACTTCCACGGTGAAGGGATAACATCGTGTAATAAAAATCAAACCCGCAAAATTATAATTTGCGTAATTACTGGTGGTAGGACCTCTTGTGAGTCCGCACGGGTAGGTACCACCTCCCTGCCTATTTCTGCCGTGAAACAGTAATGCGTTTCGGTTTGAAGGGTGGGGCAGCCGTTGTAACTAATAACTATACTGGAGACCTTAGAACTTATATCTCAAGGTGGGTGGCACATTTACGTTGTAGATGTCTATGGGCTCCAGTAACCACCAGATACGGCTGCCCCACCCTTCAAACCGAAACGCATTACTGCTTCACGACAGAAATAGGCGGGGTGGTGGTACCTACCCGTACGGACTCACAAGAGTTCTTACCACCAGTAAAGGTCCTACCACTAGTAAGGGTAATGACAACATCTCCGAAATATCCGGAAGAGATTTAATGTAAGAGATGTGGTAAGAACCATATACTGTTGGAGTGTTGGAGTGGATGCTTCGCATTACATATTTCTTTATTAATACGTGAAGAAAAAACGTTATACCCTTTTTTACGAAAATTGCGCGGACGGACGAGTAAGAAATTTCCCACACTTATAGAGAATATAGAGAAGGAGTGTAGAATGCTAATATTATTTTAAATTGTGTATAAAAAATACATTAAATCAATTTACAAAAACCTTACACAATGACATGTATTTGATGCACATACGCGTGCATACTATTTGTTTATTGTCAAACTTTTCTTATTGCTTATAGTCTGTGGTCAAATTGAGAATAGATTAAATATTGTTTGTCTTTATTAATATTTGTCTAAAGTGTAGTCTTGGCGAAATCTATGATTATAGGAAGTAAAATAGTCTTTGACAATAGAACCATTTTTTTTATTGCCCTTATTTTTTTTATTGCCTAAGCAGAGTAACATACGGCCCCCATCTGATAGTGAGTGGTTACCGTCGCCCATGGACTTCAGCAATGCCAGGGGCAGAGTTAAGCCGCTGCCTACCGTTAATATTGAAATATTGATAATGAGTAATGTTCAAAATAATCATTTCAATTGATTATAGTCCCTCGGTGTTTCCCGAGCGCTATGACATGTCCTTCTTCAAACGAGGCTTGTGGAGACTATTAAGCGGTAGGCAGCGGCTTGGACTGCTGCCTACCCTGGCATTACTGAAGTCCATGGGCGACGGTAACCACTCACCATCAGGTGGGCCGTACGGTCGTCTGCATACAATGGCAATAAAAAAAAAATCGACTACCGTAGGACCACTAGTATTCTTTATTTCTAAGACCCGCAAAACGCAAAACTACCCCTAACGTTTATGTAAGTGAAGCGACTGAATCGATCCGAATATGTCCCTGAGCTTATTATGTTTCTCTGTTGGACTCTTCTTCTTCTCCATCGAACTGCCCTCGCCCGATATCCAATGCTGTGTCACGGCATCTATTATCTGAGTCTCCATGCCATAAACCATAAATACCACGAAAAACCACCACTAAATATCTTCAGAGCGCGGTTATTTTCACATTAATTAGTCAATAAGGCACTGTTTACGATAAATTCTGTACACGTTTTATTGGGAATTTTATTGTTTGAACAACTAGATTTCTTTCACAGTTTCCCCCTCACATATCAACTGAATCAACAGCACTAATTCGCGAT